GGCGCGGGGCAGGGAGCGCGGGAGGCCGGGGCGTCGCCAGCCTTTCCTCCGACCCTCTTCTTGGCTGCTAGTGGTGGACGGACCAGCTCCCTGAGTAGTTAGCTGTCCGATCTAAGAGAGTTCGCCAGGCTGGGCACTCTGGCGCACAGGGGACTGGCGGGAGCGGGATTGCATGGCGAATTGCTCCTCTACCATTGCGTTCCTATCTCTGTCTCTTTCCATGTCTCTCTCTCTCCTCTGTCCTGTTATCCCTTCATTCATCACCTGCAACCAGTCAGATTGTACCATGTCCTGCCCAGGACTCCAGTCTCAGCGAAAACCAAGCCCTCCCTGTGGTCCACAGCGATCCCTTCCACCCTCCACCCCACCCTGCCTTTCCTCCGTCATCTTCCACTCCCTTCCGTTATTCATTGCATGTCACACTGGCCTCCTCAGTACTACCCCAGGGCCTTTGCACATGCTGTTTCCTCTTTTTCCCCATCATGCATTGCATGTCGCATTGGCCTCCTCAGCCCTACCTCAGGGCCTTTGCACATGCTGTTTCCTCTTTCTTCCCATCATGCATTGCATGTTGCATTGGCTTCCTCAGTCCTACCTCAGGGCCTTTGCACATGCTGTTTCCGCTTCCTTCCCATCATTCATTGCATGTCACACTGGCCTCCTCAGCCCTACCTCAGGGCCTTTGCACATGCTGTTTCCTCTTCCTGGAGACCTCCCCCTACTCACCCCTCCTGGTACACCTGGCCCACTTGTCACCTACCTCCATCTCGTCTTTACTCAAGCATCACCTCTCAAAGGCTTCCTTGCCTGCCTTCCCTTTTTATGAAAATAACACCCCCTCGTCCCCCCCCCCCCCCCCCTCACTTGTCACCTACCTCCATCTCGTCTTTACTCAAGCGTCACCTCTCAAGAAGGCTTCCCTGCCTGCCCTCCCTTTTTATGAAAATAATGCCCCCTCGTCCCTCTCCGCCCTGCAAGTCCTGCTTTATCCCTCTTGCAGTTTTCTTCATAGGGTCATGCTACCTGGTCCTAAGTTACCCATTCAGTGGGTTTTGCTCTTTATTGCTGTCTCCGCCGCTCGCATTTAAGCGCCACAGAAGCAGGGATCTTTCTCTGAACGTGTTCCCTGCGGCACCCCCAGCCCCTGGAACAGAGCTGGTGCTCAGTAAACATTTATTGAACGAATGACGCTGAACAAACGCATTTAACAAAATCTCTTCTGTGCCTGGCCCTGTGCCGGGTGGTGCAGGGCAGTCCCATCCCCAGACTGTGAAGACCAGCATGGTCAGGGCTAGGACTGGGGAGCCTGGGGGAACCCGGGAAGGCTTCTTGGAGGAGGGGGCACCTGCGCTGCAAACTGGAGGATGAGGACCAGGAGGGGAAGGGGTTCTAGACAGTGGGAGCGGCGAGCACACGGGCTGGAGATGAGAGCATGGCAAGCTCAGGGAAGAGGGGAAATGTCCATTGAACCCGGTGCAGGCGGTACCGCCTCTGAGGCTGGGAGGTGTGGGAGTCAGAGCACCCAGGGCCTGGCCAGGAATGTGCGCTTTGTCCCAAGGCACTGGGGAGCCACGGAGGGTGCAGTCTAAGGGAGGGACAGCGTCAGACTAGCTGCCTTCTGGAGGGGCACAGACCAGGGAGGGGGCTGGGTACCGAGGATCTAGGAGGAGCCTGGACGGGGCCATGGGGAGGGCGGGGAGCCCTGGTTTCAGGGCGATTTTGGAGGCCAAATGGAACATTCGTGGGGGCGGCTGCCAGGATGGAGGTGGGGCAGGAAGCTGGGCGAGCAGGGAGGCCCGGGAGGTGAAGGAGCCAGAGGTTTAAGGAGCAGCTCGGAGGGGGTGAGTCAGAGCCCCCACCCCCACCCCAGGAATCCTCTTTGGGAGGGAGGGGCGCGGTGTGGACCGGAGCCTCAGAACCCACCTTTCTCCCCGCTCTGCCCAGGCTCTGGACGTCTCCCTCTCTCTCCTTATTTCTGCCTCTTTCTCAGCCTCTCTCTTGATCTTTCTCTTCCTCGCTCCTTCCCTCATTCTTTCTCCCTTTCTCTCCCGCTCTCCCTGCGTCCCTCATTCATTCTCTTCTCCTCTTTCCCCCTCTTTTTCTAATTATCTCTTCCTCTCCCTCCTTCGGTCTCTCTCCTCTTCCTCCCTCATCCTATTATCTATCTATCTATCTATCTATCTATCTATCATCTATCAATCATCTATCTATCTATCTATCTATCTATCTATCTATCTATCTATCTATCTATCTATCTATCTATATCCATCTATCATCTATCTATCAATCATCTATCAATCATCTATCCATCCATCCATCTATCATCTACCATCATCTACTCCCTCCTTCTCTGTCTTCCTCCCAGTCTCAGTCTCCCTGGGGCTCGCCCTCGCCCCTCATGGATCCCAGCCCCCAGGCCCCTCCAGGGAGGCAGAGCGGCAGGAGCTGGAGCCCAGGCCGCG